TTTATACATTGTTAAGGTTACAAACACGGTAATAACCCTTTTACAACTCTATATAAAACGTCAACATGTTCATCTACACAACCAACATATTAATTTGTCTGACGACAACCTCTTATCTGTTTAACACTTTTAAAGAATCTTAACTAATAACAGTAAACAGCTTAACTACTTAAGTTAAACATGAACTCTTACTCTATAATAAACTTAGTAACTACAATGGAACTCTTGAAACAACTTGACCACTTCTTCACATACAAATGTGAAACTTAACATAACATCTAGCACAAACTTCATATTTAACACAACCTACTGAGGTAATCTGCACCCACATTATCTGATCCCTTAATGGCTTCAACTCTGAACCTATAACTCTGGAAATAAAGTGCCCATCTCATCAATCGACCGTTTTCTGTCTTTGACTTCTGGAGGTAGGTTAACGGTTCATGATCAGTTTGCACTGTGAACTCCTTCCCATACAAGTAATTATGAAATTTTTTTACACCAAACACTACAGCAAGACATTCCCGTTCTATCACAGAGTAATTTTTTTCTCTTGGCAACAACTTTTTACTGGCATAAGCAACAGGGAATAACTCGTCATCATACTTCTGCAATAGTACAGCCCCTACCCCTACATCCGATGCATCTGTTTGGAGTATGAAAGAGCGACTGAAGTCTGGCATTCGCAATATTGGGGCAGAAATTAACAATTTCCTAAGTGTTTGAAAGGCACATTCTTGTGGCTCTTCCCATCGTACGACAGTTGGTTCCCCCTTCTTGATCAAATCGGTCAGTGGGGCCGATAATTCACTGAAATTGGGAATGAACTTCCTGTAATATCCTGCCAGTCCTATAAACGACCTAACTTGTTTCTTCGTCTGTGGTCGTGGTGCATTCCTTAATCTGTCTACCTTTTCAGTTTCCATGGCAACCTTGCCCTCACCAATTTGATGACCAACAAAATTCACAGTCTGGTATCCTAGCCAACACTTGCTAGGTCTAATTGTGAGCCCTGCATCATGCACACGCTGAAATAACTCTCTCAGAGTCTTTAAATGTTCTGCCCACGTAGTTGTGTGACACAGCACGTCATCCACATAGTGATCAAGGTTCTGGGCACCATTTAGCAGCTTTCTCATCATTTTGTTGAAAGTGGCACCTGAATTCACCATACCAAATGGCATCCTTTTAAACTGATAACTTCCATCTGAGGTTGAAAATGATGTCAATGGTTTACTTTCTTCGCTCATCGGAATCTGCCAGTACCCCTTGCTTAGGTCAACTTTACTATAGTACACATCATCGCTCAATCGTGCTATGATATCTTCTGCGTTGCCCATTGGTTCTGTGTCAAAGCAAGTCACTGCATTGAGTCGACGGAAGTCAACACAAAATCTGGATGATCCATCCTTCTTGCGCACTATCACTATGGGTGAGTTATATGGGGAATTAGACGGTTCTATTATATCATTGTCCAACATTGTTTTCACTTCATCATGCACAATTGCTCTGGTTGCATATGGCAGACTGTACTGTTTCACTCGAATGGGTTCCTTTGATACTAGTGTCACACTGTGTTCTTCTAGACTCGTACTTCCAGGCTTCTCTGTGAATATGCTTTGGTATTCCTCAACTAACTTCCTCAAATCCGACTTCTTGTCCTCGGAAAGTTCTTCATTGATCTTAACATCATGGTAACTTTCAGGTTTGCTCTGCCATTCTAATTCAAGCAAATTTTCATCGTCAATTACCCCTTCATCATGTAGGTCTGGTTCGATTACTGCCATATTCACTTGTTCCATTTCTTGGATAGGGGTGTCTCGTTCCAAGTATTTCTTCAGGAGGTTTACATGGTACGTCTTCATTTTACCATTAACAGAGACACGGCAATCCCATTTGTTAACAACTTCAGCAACTTCGAATGGACCCTTCCACTGTAATGTCAACTTGTTATGGTCCGTGGGTAGGAGTAGCAACACCTTTTCGCCTTTTTTAAAGGTGCGATCTCTTGCCTTCTTATCATAGTGATGCTTGCTAATGCCTTGCGCTGCACGCAAACTTTCACGAGCTAGCTTGCACGTGTCTTCCAATCTGTTTCTCAGGTCTATTATGTACTGGTATGTGTTCTGTACTTCTGGCGTCGTACTTTCTGTCCACAACTCCTTCAAAATTTCCATTGGTCCTCTCACGGTTCTCCCATACAACAATTCAAAAGGCGAGAATCCTAGACTGGCTTGGGGCACTTCTCTGTATGCAAACAAAACTGCTGGTAAATATCTGTCCCAGTCCTTGGGTCTCTCTTGGCACATTTTCTTTATCATGCTCTTGAGTACACCGTTCATCTGCTCACAAAGGCCATTACACTTGGGATTGTATGGCGTCGTAAACAACTGATTCATAGAGATCAATCTGGATACTTCTTTCATGAGGTCTGACGTAAACTGTGTCCCGCAATCACTCAGCACTTCTTTTGGGAATCCTATACGACAGAATACTTCCAGTAAGGCTTCAGCCACGCGCTCCGTCTCAATTCTCGGTAAGGCTACGGCTTCAGGGTAACGCGTCGCATAGTCAACTACAGTCAAAATGTAACGGTTTCCACGCTCGGTCACTGGAGCAATTGGGCCAATCAGATCAACAGCTATGCGATGGAACGGGACATCAATTAATGGCATTTCTCCCATGGGAACTTTGGTAACTTTTCCCCTTGGGGTTGTTCGTTGGCACACATCACATGACTTGCAATAACGACTAATGTCACTTATGTGACCTGGCCAATAAAAGGCACTGGTTATTCTGTCACTGGTTTTCTTGACTCCTAAGTGACCCCCTACTATGCTTTCATGAGCTAATTTCATAACTTCTTCCCTATATGGCTTTGGCACTACTACTTGCAAGACTTCCTTATCACTATTCTTGTAACACTTATATAATATATCATTTTTCACAACAAAACCATAGGAACCTTGTCCCTTGGTCTGCTTCAATTCACCACTACTTGCTAATTGGTAACATTTCTCAAGTGAACTATCAGCTTTTTGTGCTGCTATTAACTCATTCGAGTTCACCTCTTGAATGCCTGGTAATGCCACCTTAAGCGGTCTTATATCTAACTTTTCCTTCTTAGCTTGTGCTCTTGTTGTCACAGCTCCTATCTCCACCTCTTGTCTCCACTCTGGATCTGGTATATTGCTAACACCTGGTATATTACCTAACACTACATCGTAAACTGGTTTTTCCATAACCATTGCCTCCACTAGGCCCACATAATATGGTGTATCAATGTGCACATTTGCTACAGGAAACTGACGGACAGTCCCATCTATAAGTAAACATGAATGCTCTCCACCAGTAAAATGACCCTTCTCAACTAATGACGCTCTCACCGCTACTCCACTACAGCCTGTATCCCTTAAGACACTAACCCTCTCCTTTCCAACAAAGCCACTGCTAACAGGCATATTTTTACTTGTAACTGAGTTGCTACAACCACTGGCCACTGGCTTTTTGGTACTTTGAGGACAGTTCTTAGCAATGTGTCCATGCTTGTGACACAAAAAACACTTGTCACTCATAGGGCATTCTTTAGCAAAATGTCCTCTTCTGAAACATAAGCGACATTGATCCTTTTCTACTGTCTTCATGTCCGACTTTCCTGGTTCTGACTGCTTACTACTATTCACAACAACGGCCTTGTTTGGGTGTCTAAAATTATTCTTCCCCTTGACTGGGGCCCCACTGTGTGCCTCAAGGTATTGCTCTGCTAACCTGGTCATCTCATCAACAGTCCTTGGCTTCCTTTCTTTTAAGAACACTGACAGTTCATTGGAGCATGTCGACATGAATTGCTCTCGTATGATGAGGTCATAGAGGCTTTCTACTGTATCTTCAACTTCTGAGAGTTCTTTCCATCTTTGATAATATCTCTTCATCCTAGCAACAAATTGAAACACCGTTTCCCCACTGTCAGGTTTACAATTTCTGAACTTAACCCGAAACCCTTCTTCGGTCAGCATATATCTCTTCAACAAGGCTACTTTAAAGTTGTCATAGTTATTAGCTTCCTGGGCTGGCATGCTAGAATACGCCTGCAGACCTTTACCGGTTAACAATGGGCTTAGACTCACTGACCAACTCTCTCTTGGCCACTGCTGACTAGAAGCAAAGCGTTCAAAACGATCTAAAAATGCGTCCATATTGTCTTTATTTCCATCGAACGCAGGTAACTTTGGGCGTGGTGCTTTAACCTTTGTTTCACCTGATGTACTTGCACTGAATTTGGTTTTCTGTTCGCCCAATTGTACCTGTAGTTTCATTTTTTCTATCTCCATATGCTCCTTTTCTAATGCCCTTTGCTGTTCTTCTCGCTGAAACTTTCTGTCAAGTTCTTGCTTTTCCATTTCTAATTCATGGTTTAATCTTAACACTTCCAATTCCTGTTTCTTTCTTTCATCCTCACGTACCCGTGCTCTCTCTTCACGCTCTAGGTACTGCTGTTCACATNGGCATACTAGAATACGCCTGCAGACCTTTACCAGTTAACAATGGGCTTAGACTCACTGACCAACTCTCTCTTGGCCACTGCTGACTAGAAGCAAAGCGTTCAAAACGATCTAAAAATGCGTCCATATCGTCTTTATTTTCATCGAACGCAGGTAACTTTGGGCGTGGTGCTTTAACCTTTGTTTCACCTGATGTACTTGCACTGAATTTGGTTTTCTGTTCGCCCAATTGTACCTGTAGTTTCATTTTTTCTATCTCCATATGCTCCTTCTCTAATGCCCGTTGCTGTTCTTCTCGCTGAAACTTTCTGTCAAGTTCTTGCTTTTCCATTTCTAATTCATGGTTTAATCTTAACACTTCTAATTCCTGTCTCTTTCTTTCATCCTCACGTACACGTGCTCTCTCTTCACGCTCTAGGTACTGTTGTTCACATTTTGCTACATACTCTCTCAACTGTTCAGCTTCATACCCTAACTTCTGACCATCACTGATGTATTTACTCGTATCCATGCTGTAGGATGTTTTCTAGCCGTCTATAGGAAAAATGAATATCTACTCAACTAAAGAGTGCTACACACTACTCTACGTACAACAGTGCTTTACTAAATCACTTAAGTACACTTAGCACTCTACAGTTCTATATTACCACACAGCATCACTACAGCACACTACCACCTACATGTACTGTTACTACACTTCACTTAATTACACTCCTGTAATTTAACACTGTTGAATATATCCACATACTGTACTGCTTGTAAAGTAAACACAACTAAAGGTAACACTAAATCATCATACCAACACATTACTTCTCTTTGTAATATGAACACTACCATTAGGTACAACTGTATTACTGCTAACCACTGTTAGGCAGTACCAACACATTACACACTTTTGTAATGCACAACACCACTATAGGGCACAACTGTATTACTGCTAACCACTGTTAGACAGAACCAACACATTACACACTTTTGTAATGCACAACACCACTATAGGGCACAACTGTATTACTGCTAACCACTGTTAGACAGAACCAACACATTACACACTTTTGTAATGCACTACTCTACGGTCACTGATAACATTTAAGTGTCAGTTGATCAACTTGAATAAACACTGTCAGCTGCATGGGCTATAACGTTCATTACACCATTCCACATCCAGTATCACATGGCACACAACTGTAGCTAACGGTCTGATAGCATATGTTCCAGTCAGTTCGTTTCACTACACTGAGCATCGCACAGTTATTATAGTTATCAAGGCTGTAACTCACGGCACATGTTGATATCGGTTGTTCCACAGTCAGCATCGTTCCGCTGTCTTTATTCAGATCCCGGACGAGCCCCCAAATTGTCAGGAAAAACAACAGCGCATTTGCATATGTTCTGAATGTCTCCTTTATTATTTTCGAAATTTTAAGATTTCCACTGAATAAAGATCAGTTTCCAGATTATCACAGTACATAACGTAACAGTAACTGATGCAATGTAACAGAGAGGTGCACGTGTACTTGCCGCCGATTCCTATCTTGGTTAGTTTATGCCGTAACTTGGTGCATTTATGGCATCAAAGCATTCAGTGCAGTCCACGGAACATCAACACAGTCTATTCCAACAATGAATCTACTAATTACAACGTCCAGCGCTTAAAACGCTTCCACACTCTGTCTGAAACAGTAACGCACCGCATGGCCCCGACTCTCCTCTCTCTTCCCAGTTCCGATCTCCCCACCCAGGAGAGCTTAATTCTCTGACACACCCGCTGCCACAAATGGGTGGTCATAGTACAGAGATGATCAGATGGATGGTCAAATCTGAAAATGCAGCGATTCTCGGTGAGATAGCAGAGAAAACACTCACTGATCCAACACTAATCAAACTTGGAAGGAGAATACACTCATTATATGTGACTATGTTTTAGTTAAACAGAACAAAAGAAACAAACTCACAACACCATATGAACCGATTTTCTATATCGTCATGGAAATACATGGTTCTCAAGTTACTGCCAGAAGAGTTACAGACAGAAGAACAATCTGCAGAGACACAAGTCAATTCAAACTGTGTAACAATGTCATAAACACAACAGATGATGTAATGAAAATTCCAGCAGACTCGTATTTGAAAGAAAACACAAATGAGATGAGAAGACAAGATGATGCATGTGAATTGCAACTTAGTGATATATTACAGTGAAAAGTGACATTGCAGCAACAGGCACACAGAATATTCCAAACTTAGATGATATTGCATTAAATACAGAGAATTCAGTTGATGAGAAGATGCCACAGCAAGAGAAAAACAGTGATCATATTGCAGAACCAATTACACTAGACCAAAGAGAACAATCAGAAGACCAGTTACTTTCAAGATTATGTATTAAAGTGACAGTTCAATCATTTCTATATAATCAGGATGAAGGTGGATTGCTGTCCTGAGGAGAAAAAAGTAATCTGAGATAATTTATATTTAATCAGGACGAAGGCGGATCGCTGTCCTGAAAAAAGTAATCTGAGATAATTTATATTTAATCAGGATGAAGGCGGATCGCTGTCATGAAAAAAGTAATCTGAGATAATTTATATTAAATCAGGATGAAGGCGGATCGCTGTCCTGAAAAAAGTAATCTGAGATAATTTATATTTAATCAGGATGAAGGCGGATCGCTGTCCTGAAAAACTTGAGCATAAAGCACTCAAGATGTAACTTTATACAATATGAAAACTGAAAATTCATTAGGATTCAGAATATTCAAGGATAATGATTGACAAATACTGTTTTTTAAAGTTTATATGGCTGCTGATTGGTCGCGTCTTGACCACCACCACCTGGTGGATGACGTGGTAATGGGAACGAGTGTGAAAGAAGCACATGGCAAGTGAGACCCACGGCACCTGGTCATAACAGATGATATGTATTCAACCCAAGGTGGAGCAGTGGTCATTACCCACCGTCACCCATCACCATGCCAAAAACACCTCCTTGCAGGTAGTGCACAAAATTATTGCTTGGTTTTGTTTAACTAGTTGTGTCACAATAGATAATTTATCTTCTATCCTTCCATTGTAGATCAACAAACCAGTTATCATATTTTGTGTTTCCTTTAAATTTAAATAATTTTTTTCACTTTTCTCATGTTACTCTTTACAAAAAAACAAGGCACATTCAACTGATATACCTATCCCAGATTATTACAGCCATTGTTTATGGGCAATTTGAGTGTGCTAATTTCACAGAAATTCCAGAAGATTTGGCAGAGTTTTGTTTATTTACCTGTGTTCAATCTGAGATTGTGCTGGTCTCAGGAGTCACAATTGTGCCCAGTAGCCTTCAAAAGACAAGCAACTTATCACAGTTTAGTCACCACAACAATGATGTCTACCATATAAGGTGGGCACTTGGCAGTGTACCATAGTTTTAATATTTTTCCCAACTGGCTCTGGAGGACTGATAGGTTGTTATCTTTTCTTTGTGCTAAGATAATTTGTGTTCCTTCTCTTATACATTGTCATATCTCTTTTTCCAGCTCCAGTCTCCATACAGCATGGTGTCTTCTAGGTGAACTGACTTTACCTGGCTGAACATGGGGGACATGTATTTCATATGAAGCAGAAATAAAAAGGCAGCAACAGAAACATCTTCATCTCACCCAGTTGTGCAAGACATGGAATGTGACAAGTTTTAGGATGAATGAACAGCCAGAGACAGGACAGCCATTGTAAACAGGTGACTGGACCTCTTGCAGACAGCAAACAAAATGAATGGTTGTTTTTTTATACAAATAACGATAGGTAATTTGTTTCCCCTCCTTCCTTGTAAAGACACAAATAGCAATTGTAACATTATTATTTTTTTTTTTTTGTGGGGGTTGAAATGATTATTTCAATGTTGATAGCATTATTATTATGAACAAAATTAATGTTTCATTGCTTTAATTATAATTATGTTTATTTAATATTTATATTCATATTCATCAAGTGCTTTATTAATCACACCTGTCATTTGTTAAGAATTTGAACCAATTCATCTTGTATGCACAAAACGCATTTAAAATGAATATTTACATTTTAATTTGATCACCATTACATATGAGCAGTATCAAGATATAAATACCAAGTTTCGTGATACAAAAATGTTCTTGTGCTTTTTACAAAAGCATCCTGTATTTGAATTACTTATCATTGAATTGTTGCTGATAATGTACAAATTTTTAACATGCATTGCAAACAGTAACACTCATTTCATCTATATTTTTAGCAAATACACTTCTGGAATTGTGTAAAGAGCTGCTGGCAGACCAAGAGGTCAATTTTATCCTGAGTGAGAGAGAGTGCTGCCAGAACCACCCAGAACAAGACTTCCAAACACAGCAGATCCTGTGGAGCCAGTTATATGGAACAGTACAATTACACAACAAATGTGGGTTCCAGGTAACACAAAGAATCAATTTCCCCCATATGCATGGAAACTTTAGAGGCAGGGTATATAAAGCAAGGAGATTGTGTTGGACAATACTCTATCACTGAAGACGAATAGGCACAATGGAAATGTTTAAGAGTGAATTGATATATTTCATCTCAGTTGTGTTGTGTTGTAATAATTTTCCCCATATGCATGGAAACTGTTACAGTACTAGTAGAGGTAGCATATACAGTGAGATTGTGGTAGACAAAAAGTCGTCACAGAAGAGAAAAGGGCATCAGTGAAAATATTTAAATGTGAATTTATATTTCAATGCAGATATGATGTGTTATTGATGATCTCTGTTATTGTGAGGTCATTAAGTTGCCCAATGCAAATTTTATCAGGTATTTATTATATACAGACACTCAGTCTGTCTATATTCTGATCACTGTGTCTGTCCAGTGTCATTGTCTTAGTCAGCACTTTGTGACACATCTGTTGTTTACCCTAAAACTGATAAACTGTTTTTTTGTTTTAAATTCCTCTAGAAAATCAGCATGATTGGATTATTTTATGTTATTGTTTTGTTATCGTTAGCAGTTTGGATATGATGCTATACAGTATGTCCTGAGTATATATCAATATTAAAGCAGCAATGTAGATGTGTTTGTGCATCAGGAGTGGTGTTAGTGTATCTGCCTGTTTCAATGTGAAGTTTATGCCCACTGGTGCGAAAACAACTAAGGCTTTTTCTTTTTTCATCATCTTGAACAATGTCCAGATATTTTTCCTTTTTAAATGTATTTTTGAATTGGCAATAGGTGCTGGATTTAGATTTGTCCTCAAGTTAACTGTGCAAGTTTTGTACGAAGCCACTGTTGATTACCCTAGGTTCTAGATTCCGGTATTGCCAGCTCGATCTTGATTTCATATATAACCCATAGTAGCAATACCAGGCTCTAGCGAACAGTGGCAACTCAAAATTCTGCCTGGGGCGCTTCCATATTTGGAAGTCACATGTGTCGTACGTCACAGCTCTGTCCCGCCTTGAACTGCCTTTGACATTGTGATCTCGTGACATCTCGTGCTATACGAGACAAATGACAAAGAAAATATGGCTGACGCGGAGTTCGATGCAAGTGTATGTTTGGCTCTCAGTTTGCTGAAAAATGTGCCCATCGAAGAAATTAAAAGATGAACAAAAAGAGGCTCTTGTTCATCTCTTGAATGGTGAGGATGTTTTCGGGGTGCTACCAAAAGGGTATGGAAAAAGCTTGATATATGAGATCGTCCCAAAACTGTTTCCAATATGTAGACAAAAGAAGGTAGGAACATCGGATATTGAAATTGCTGCATCAGTGATCGTCGTATCGCCATTGATATCGTTGATGAAAGATCAGATAGAAGAGATGATACAGCTGGGGCTTGACTCAGTATACCTCAGTAGTGAGCACGAGCTAACAGAACCCGAGTTGCAGAAACTAAAGCTTGGAGAGTACGATGTTGTATTGGCAAGTCCAGAATCGTGGCTGGGGAAGTACAGGTACCTCTTCGACATCGAGGACTTTCGGAACAACATTTGTTTGCTGGTTGCAGATGAAGCTCATGTTATACGTAACCACAGTGGTGAGCCATATATGCAATGTTATTTATAGAACTATGTAAGGCAGAAAAAGGAAGACCATTTATTTCGAAAAATTCATTATTTCCACGAAAATTAATTAAGTTTGATATTAAAAAAAAAAAAAAACCTGGACAGTATCATTTTAAAATTACTGTATTTGACATTATTGTGGCTCTGGTAAGTAATTTTAAAAAAGAGCCAGCATAATACAAGATCACAAGTTACTAAAATAAAATATAATCAATGAAGTGATAAAAGACTCTTTAATTATAAAAAAACGTGCTCCTTTATTGCACATAAGGGATGCTTACATCTTTATTTTATTTTTGATATCTTGGTTCAGTCATACTAAACTTAATTTTGTGTACATTTCAGGGGGTTGAACCAGAAGCGCAAGAAAGCTTTTAGGGGAGCTTTTTCACAGCTCAGAGAATTGAGGGCTCTAGTAAGAAAGGACATTCCCTTCTTGGCTCTGACAGCCACAGCTAACAAGAGGACGAGAAAGAAGATTACACAGGCACTGCTATTAAGGAAGCAACACTATATTATTAGGTAAATTCACTTTTTGAAGTGCAGACAATTATATAATGTTTAAGCGTAAGTGTAAGATTTGTTTTATAAACAGCTTAGTGATTTAAAGGACCACTCAATTGTATGGACCTTTATAGAGCAAAAAATGATTATAATTATAATGATAATAAAGGATTTATAATAATAATAAATACTCATACATACATTTGCATACTACATTCAGTGCACAATAGGGTGTATTTTGCTATTTTCATCTGCATTACAAAACATTTTTATAGGTTATGTTGAAATTTTTCTATATAAAAGCAAAGGACTGAGATTTATGGCTGGATTTTGGCACCAAATTAAATTTCCCCAAACACAAAAGCAATTTACCATCTTCCCCACACATTTCAAGATTTTTAATTCCTACAAGAATATTTGTGCAAATTTTGTTATTTCTTATTATTATTGTACAAATTTTGTATATATCTATATTTCAGGTCTCCAAAAAGAGAGAACATATTTATAGGTGTTAAGAAAGCACAAGGGGTGCAAGACTTGGACTGGCTTGTGGAGCAGTTGGGAGAAGAAAGACTTAACATGAGGAGGACATTGTTGTATTGCCGTGCAGTAAAGGATGCAGTAAGTGTGTATGAACATTTTTTGAACCTGCTGGGAGAGAGATCATATGTAGATGACACTTCAAAACTATCCGGTAATCGCCTGTTTGCCCTGTACCATCACAATACAAATGACAAAAGAAAAGAAAATATGTTGAAAGACTTGATAACTGATAGTGGTCACTTCAGAGTTGTCATTTGTACAAATGCACTAGGCATGGGAATAAATGTTCCCAACATTTCAACAGTTATTCACTATCGTGTACCATCGATGACTGAGTCCTATATACAGGAAATTGGACGCGCAGGTAGAGATGGGAAAGAGGCACAAGCACTACTGTACTACTGTGCACGTCACTTGTTAGGTACAGAGAAAGAGATGAAGGATTTTGTAAGAGGAAAAGAACAATGTAGAAAAAGAGCAGCATGGAACCAGAGGCAGCAGTGCGCCTCATGTGGCCGACCCTCACACAGCAGTGAGAGAGCCATCAAATGGAGACTTAAAAGTGATGTTATACTGTCTGAGGGAATCTCAAGACAAGTGCAGGCATTTAAATGTTTTAGGCATAAATTTTTTTCCAGATTTACTTGTTAATGAAATCATTGCAAGTACCAGATACATTGATAGTTATGATTATGTAATCACAAACTTGAGTGTTATACACCCTCTTGTAGCTATAGAAATTGTAACTGTTTTAAATGAAGTGTTCGGGGAGGAATTACTGGTGCCCACAATTGATAATGATATTTTAGAAGATATAGATGACTTAGTATTGCAGTCAGTTTTCAATCATGAAGAGGAGGAGGACTCCTTTGCAGACCTCCTAGATGAGTATGCAGAGTCGCATTGATTTTATGTAGACATATTCTAGCTAGATTGGACATGCATGTAAGATGAGAGAAGATGGCTTTTCTCTCTTAAATAGTTGACACCCGTACATAGATGTTCAGTGAGTTTTGAAGAAGTATGGGCAGAAATCATAAAACCATGGCTCAGATATTTCTTGTGACATGTAAATATTGTGTACGATAATTGTCTACATTTAGCTTAGTTTTAGAACTCAATTTTTTGTATTGTATATTTAAAAATGTTGTTTACATGATTTTTTTGATATGATAATTGATCACTCACATATATCCACTGTCCGTATTGGACTTTGGTCAGAACCAACTTTAAATTGCACCATATAATCAATAACTGTGCATATATATGTTGCTAATAGCTTACTTAGGCTTATTGTATGTATTAGCATGTATAGCACTTCTTGACTTTCAGTTCACCAACAAGGGCTGACCAAAAAATCTGGGCTATGAAAAATTGCAACTACGAGAAGAGCTTTTTTTTTCTTTTGCTTTTTCCAAATTTCTCTAATAAAGGATGTTCAGGTGCCTTCCCCTTCCTAAGAAAGAGGGAGTTAGGTTTTCGATTCTATTTGTCATCCATATTTAATAAATAGATTGATTGATTCTGAATCATTAGCTTTATTTAATTAAATTCTGCTCTTATTGCCCAGAACCTAACAAGCATTTGATACTAAATGTCAGCCCTTATTTTGTTCATTTTAGAAAAACAAAAACCTTTACTCTTTTTGCTCACAATAAAGCTCCAGTAGAGCAACCCTTTTGGATATTTGATCGATTTCTTTTTTCTTTCTTTAACTTGCAAGTTAAGCTCCTTAGGAGCAGTTTTGGCTGTTTATCTTTTATTGTTTGGCTTCATTTAATTTTCAAAGGAACACACCAATTTCTTAAATACTTTTTTGTCATAATACTCTGTTTGACATAAAATAAAGGTGGTCTTGATCAGATTTCAAACCCTCTGTTTCTTGTGTTTGTATCAGGTGTTGTGTGGATGGATGATGCAGATTAAGTACATTTTAGAGAGAAGTTGCTCATTTGTTGTTTGCATGTCAAACGTGTTTTTATTTAACATATTCTTTTGGTCAAAGAATGTTAAATGTCAAATAAGTTATTAAATAAATAAGCATGCTTTTCAGCCTTATAATATAAAACCAACAAGTCCAGGAAAAATGCAATTTATTCAAGCAAAATATATTTCCTTGAGCTTTTTTTACCCTTGCTGTCACTGGAATGTTTACAAAAAATACAATAGCCATAGTAATCATAGAATGTCACATTTGCCTCTGCCAAGACTATTCCATCAGTCACTTAAGGCCTTCACCATTTCCTGTTCTTGTGACCACTGCCTTAGCCATTTTGAGAGCCAAGTCTTTAACTTGGGTGCCTTAATTGAAACAATCTCCCTACTAAAGTTTTCAAATTTTTGTGCTTTAAACCATCTCCCAGGTTCTCTGCTAAACATGTTTACCCTCTCTGTTATTTCTCTTAAGACAATTGCAAAGTCTGTCTCACTTTTGAATTTTGCATGGTAGCCAGAGGGTTTGTGCACTTTCAGGTCTTGGTTTTGGGAATTGACAATTTCAACTATCCTTTTTACTTGGTTTGCAGAATTTTCTGTAATATTTACACCTAAATGTTTGAGTGAATTTTTAAGAGCCAAATTCAGATTTTCCAAGTGAAAGTCAAGAGAGATGCCCAAGCCCACTTCTTCTGTTTACAATCCTATTCCACATCAATCTGTGGGCCTCCATGGGTGGCAATGACTTCAGCAGAACTGCCAAATGAAGAGCAGCTAGTGAGTACTTAGTTGACTGCTTTTCAAAGTATAAAGGTAGAAACCACTTCCGTATGTTGGTGATTTCTTCCCCATCACCCTCACGCACAGCATCATCAGCATTCAAATGCATCAGTCAAAGGGTGATGTATACCGAACCATAATTCCATACGGCATCTTCATCTTTTGCAGATGGCATATCTACGTCAATGGATAGGTTGTGCATTTCCATTTCATGCCGCATTCTTGCGGCCTTATATTTGTAGACCTTGCCACACACAGAGCAGACTTGCTCCTCCTCTGCCTGAACCAGGTGCACCCATGAGGGAAACAAAGTGCTCCACACACGGGCGCAATGTGGCCAGGAGCCATTGTGACTTGTCCTCCTTTGATAGATAAGATAGATAAGATAAGATAGATAAGAGTTTATTCAGCCATTAATATATAAATATAAAATTCATATAAAACGGAAATTGGACTGCTATTCGGGTTACAAATTATAAATAAATAAATTATAAATTTCCATTTTTGTTGTTAAAATAAGACACAGCAGATGGGTAAAAACTCTTTAAAAACCTTTTAGATCCCTTAAAAGTTAAAAGCCTGCAGTTGCTCGGTAAAAATTTAAAAAGCCCATGTGCGGGGTGGGTATAGTCAGACATGATTTTCTCTGTTTTTGTTACTGATCTATTAGTATAGATGGCACCTAGAGAGGGGAGTTCCAGACCGATGATTTTGCCGCACGTTGATGTGACCATATCTAGACGCTTGCGTTCTTCTACAGTGGCCCGCCCATACCATACTATGATTGCAAATGTTAATATACTTTCTATAACGCATTTGTAAAAGTTTGCTAAAATCATTTCATTTGAAGTAAAATCCTTCAACTTTCTTAAAAAATATACCCTTTGCCTCGCTTTTTTTAACTGTTTGTCTATGTGGTCCTTCCATGTAAGTGAGCTATTGAATTCTACCCCCAGCAGTCTAAAATTGGCTACTTGCTTTACTGAGGTGCCACTGATATGAATGGGTTCTTTCACATTTCTGTTCTTTCTGAAGTCAACAATCATTTCCTTAGTCTTCTCTACATTCAGTAACAAATCGTTGTCTTTACACCATTGTACAACTGAGTTGACATCGTTTCTATACCAGGTCTCATCATTATCACTTATTAAGCCAATTAAAGTGGTGTCGTCTGCAAACTTCACGATGCAATTACTCTCATGAGATGAAACACAATCATACGTGAACAAGCTTTGAGGCATGGACAAGGTCCCCAGGCATTATTCCAGATTCCATGCCTTCCATCCCAAAGTACGCCATAGTGGCAGCAACAATATAGGCATCTAAGTAGAGGTAGAATGCCTCTTTCACCTGTAATATGAAAAGAAGTAACCAAATTATCATCAACAATCAGGTTTGCTTTTTGGCTGGCCTACTCATCATTTTGTATTTAAAATAAACATAATTATATATAGACATATGATAATTTTAGGAAGTCATCCAAAAATGCATTTGTTAGATATGAGTGACAGGGCACTATAAAGTTAACTGGTTTACTATGCTTTTTTCCCACTAGCAGCTTTAAAGTTGATTTGGGTAATAAAAAATCAATATGAAGCTGGCAAAAGCATACTATGGAACCTAGGGTAGAACATAACAAACCTTATTGTATTCATTAAGTGGACTCAACTTAGCATTAGAGTTGTTGGTAACAGTTGCATTAGCAAAGTAGGTTCCTGCATCACCGGTTGTATCTGGATGACTTAATATTTCCATGGTTCTCTGCAAGAAATTTTTGAACATTTGTATCAAAATATATTTAAAATGTATTCATGTTTAGTGAACAATTATGATAATTTAAAACCAATGATCTATCTGATAATGTTAAAAATTGTACTCGCAGTATATCTGGTCAATGGTATAATAATAATAATAATAATAATAATGTGGATGGCAAAAACAAGCAATTTGTGGATTTTCAAACCCATGGGGTGTACTTTTAATTATCACAATCACCTAATAGGAAGATAATTAAAAAATACCTGGAAAGCTATGCGAAAGGCATGCCAGTCCTCATTCTTTGGTAAAACACCCATCAACATTTCCAAAAGAGTATCGCTATCCAGTCTGGCCTTCTGAGCATTTCTAGCCCTTTCTTCTGTTAGTTGATCTCCGCCAAAGAAAATCTGAAATAATGGAAATTATTATTATTATTATGAATAAAGGGGGAAGCACATTTATGTGACTTCAATTTTTTCAAATGAAGAAAGCATCAGTAATCAACTAACATGGAGCTTCTCAATTCCCTGTATTCAAGGTGCTTATTTTTGATTAATTAGTTGTTACTTTTAACTATTATCTTTGCATAGCATTTCATGGACATTAACAATTGTACAAAAAATTTGTTACCTGTTCTCTAATTTCTTTTCCATCTTCATTTAAAGGAACATAACGCTGGTGCAAATCTTGTAGTATTTCTACCATTTCTTCATTCTCATTACGAAAAAGAAGACATAGTGGATACTGCAAACAAAACCAATGAAAATACTAAATGCTAGGAATACATGATTATGACATTGAAAGTATTAAAGGTACATACGAACCGAGCATCGGTGGAGCGTGGATTCCCAGTAACACATGTAAACCACTTCTACTAGATTCTTATATGACTCAAATAAATTCGACATGCCAAGGGATAAACTGAATAGATCACTCGATCAGCCATAAAAGACCTTTAGACTGCTCCTTTCTTTAAATTTGTGGTTGTAAATTTAACCTACTTTCGTGACCTACTTTCCTGCCCCATTGACATACAGCTTAGAATGCCAGCAGAAAAATCCGTTCAAACATCATTTTCGGGTAAAATTAAACAATGCCTTTTGGTAATTCTCTTAGTTATACTACTTGAAACTATATGCTGGCATTTGGTTGGTTTTTGTGACAAAAAATTGACTTTGTATGCACCTTTAAATCAATTTTAGATTAATGTCCACTGTATTTATGGATTTAAAAAATAAATCTTTTCAATCAATAGCTTATTAGCCTAGCCAAATATGTTGGCTCCTTTACTGTCTCTGAAATCTCCTTCATCTTAGAGGAATACTGGTGCGGAATGTGTCTAATAACTGCATTGGCTAGGGGTTGAAAGCCTGGCATCCACCTTGTCACAACACGGGACCAGTGTATTGTAAACCTTCCAATGAGTCTGCTGGCATCATGTTGATTTGGTAAGAACTCATGCAGAGGAATGTCCTTAATTTTTTTAACCTGCTGGTTGTCCAATCCCACTGGCGATCTGAGGCCATATGACGTGCCTTCACTTCTAAGTCAATATTGTCACCAACAATTTGGTAACGCCTAGTGCTGCCTGTGTCCTGTTTTGCATCGAGTACTGGCTGGTCAAAGCCCTCCCCAGCCTTCTTCTTTAATCTCAAGGCCATTCTACTACTTACACTTACAAACTGATGTGACAACCTTTTCAGCACCTAAATAATTAAAAAAGATAACAATGAAAATATTTTCAATTGAATCTACAACTGGTAATATATTAACATCTAGTTTTTTCAATTAAAAGTTTAAGAAAGTGATAGTTTTCCTCTCACATTATGAAATTCACTTGCTTTGAGGATATTTTTAAAGCTAAGCTAAAGCTTGGCTATTTAAAATTCAATGTTTTTCATGAGGATTGAGAAAGCTGTAGAGCTCTGTCACAAGTTAGGAAAGGACAATCATTTATTGAGAAAAAATGAGGAAATTGTCCTTTATCCCAGAAAAATTCATTAAATTCAATTTTATTTTTAAGCAAAAATCCAAGAAAGAAAGTATACACAATTTTATAATATATAACTCACCATTGTTGAGCACCCTCCATTCTGCATGGCAATAGCATTCTTGCAGGCCCATGCAGCCATATCTTTGTTTCTTGCCTTTAATATAACACAGGCTGGGGACACTATCTTCAAAGCCTTCTCATCATCTGTAGACTGACTCCTCTTTCGAGTGGTTACACATCTAAGGAACCCATGTAGAGTTGGAGCTCTAGTTTTCAATTCTGTATTACCTGTGTTTATATTGACATTACTAAGGGTATGGGGATTTGTCGCTTGGATCATTTGAGCTGCATAAATTGTCAACTTCTTTCTCTGCTTGCTTGTACATCTTTTCAATAAGCAAGGGCCTATTAGGAGCATGGTTCCAAACTGCATGCAAAGCAAAGTGGTCTTGTCCTAAAGATAGATGCTTGATGACATCTTTATGCCAAGCATCAACAACATTATAACTGGCACAATGGCTTGGATATTCTATTGATACCTGAAAAATATTTTTAAAATTACTACTCGCAAACTGTTAGGCAGTAACATGTAGCTCTTTAAAAGCTGAAGCTAAGTAGAATCCTCTGTAAACTTCAAACGAAAAAGATTGTATTCAGAAGTCCTTAATTAACTTGACATCATTAATTAAAAGCATTTGAACATGAGTCATCAAAAAGTGTTATCATATGGAATAAGGAAAAATTAACAATGCTTTAAGATATTTCACAATGTTACTTTCTCATTACAAAATACCTTGATTGTGGTGCGTTGGTTATGCTCAACTGCTTCCAGGGGCGGATCCAGAGATATTTTCTGACAGTCTTCCAAATTATCTCTTCCGACAGAAAAAATTAGATACCCATCAATGTTAACTTAAAAATCTGACGGTCTTCCAGAAGACCCAGAAGACGGCCTAAATCCGCCCCTGGCTTCTGCCACTGACTGAATGACTCCCAAGTTTGACACATCACTCAGCACTGAGTAAGACTCCTGTCTATGGTGGGAGTGAACAAAAAATAACTAATGTTATAACTGAAGAACTAGATGCATTTGTTCTGAAAATGTTTAGCTTTAAACAATTAAGTGGTTGGAGGGAAAGAGAGAGAGAGAAGAAAAAGAAAAAAATAAAAAGAGTGAGTGAGAAAAGAAAGAGAGATCTAAAATAACCAAGTGATGAGATTCATGTATCTTACCTTGTAATCACTATCTGTGATGATGCTTTGGGCACTATGTTTTCTGCTGCAGCTGCTGGACTTTGGAACAGTGATTTAGAGCTACTGCTACTGACCTCAGAGTTATTAAGGAATAAAATTATAATAAAAATGAAATGAAAAAGTGAACTATTTTTTAAAAGACAAGTAACAATATCCATCTCCGAAAGCCACAAAAATCTTATTATCAGTGGAAATTTTCCAGCTGCTTCTTATTAGAAAGATAAATAGGAAACGATTTTACTTTTATTTAAAATTGGAAATTTAAGAGACCAAAAGAAGGCCAAATAGCTGCAGAAAAGTCTGCATATAGATGATTTTATTTATTACAGAAGATTGTGTCAGTCAGCACCTTGAAAATCTTTCTCCAACTGCTAATCTCTTCCGAGCACTCCCTTTCTTCAAGACAGGTGAAAGTGTTGTTGGAGTTGCTCTTTTGGATCTTACTGGACTGTAACTACCTGATTTTAATGCTAAAAAAATAAATTAAGGTGTTCCTGTTAACATTAAGATGCATTAAGATAAATACTGTTAATGCTTCATTTATCATATTATACAAGTTTATTTCACTGTAACATATGCACCCACTTGGGTGGATGAAAATGACAATATGAATACAATTTCTGTGAATAAGCTTTTAAGCAATCACAATGAGTAAGACTATTTACTATTTACTATTTAAAAAAATTAATACTATTACTCAATTGCCGATGAGTGCAGCACTGTCTTCTAGATCCCTCCTAGCAAAAGCGGAGGAGAGAAACTGAGCTAATGCAATAAGGGTTTCTTCTTCTTGACATTTCATAATTATATATTATCTGACACTCTTCTAAAGAGTTATGAAGACTGATTTAGCCATGTCATAAAATATTTTCTTAGTGCTAGCATTAAAGCAATAGCTATTATTCCCGAGGGATTAACTGTAGGACGAAGAGTGCCCTAATTACATCTGGCCTTATTGAACTTTGAACTAACACCGAGACAGAATATCACTTTAAAATCTTATTCTAAATTGCTCATATATATTTAATAATGTTTTAACATAAAAAAAAACTTACATGCAATTGTAGTCTCCTTTCTCTTCTGAATATCTTCTTTCAGTGATAAATATTTCGAAAATAAAGTCTTACATTTTCTGCAAACGTATGTGTGATGCAGTGCAAACTCGGAACTCAGCTGCAGTAGCTCAATATCCAGTGATTTCTCAATCAAAATTTTTGCATCATCCTTTGTTAGTCACCCTGAAATAACTGCTGAGTAACTAAGAATACCTTGCAACCGAAAGTCAGTGCCACAACACACGCATTTTTCTGCTTTGAAAACAGTTTTTTTCGGTGTAGCCATTGCTCACTACTTACAGCCATATCGCCATAGCTGTCAAATTTGGCGCATGGCAAGCACGTGGGTCGTTTATATATTCAGAAGCAAATGTTATTGAAAAGCAAAAAAATACAAAAACATTGGATACATCTTTTTTCTTGTAGAAAATATTATTTATTTTTCCATTTATTATTTAAATACAGTAAATAAAATTAAATAAAGCAGAATTAAATTTATTTTACGTTTCATTTTGGTTTAATGACATTCAACTGCAGTTTCACTGCGGAGCAGTTCTATTTGATTGACGGAAACCTAACATGGCCGCTGGTCTTCAGTGCTAGTAAAAGGGACTCCACCACAAGGTATATTTAGCAAGCTAGCTTTTACGTTGCTCTGACACTCAGGGTATTATGCTGGGGACTTATAAGAATTCCTTTTAGAACAGTACATTGAAATATGAGAGTTGATACATTGTTTCTTATGTGTCTAAAAGAAAAAAAATAAGTTTTTGAAGTCATCCATTGCCCCCCCCCCTTTTTTATTAAAAACTTTTCCCTATAATGCAGCCATGTTGCATATATTATATCATCTCCCAACCTTTATTTGGGGAAAATATTTGTTCCTGACATAATGGCCTGCTGAAATCTTTTGTTGGAGATGATTTGTCTCAATGAAGTCCAAGGTTTGTGAACCAGGCTCCAACCATTTCTTTTTCCTCCCTGACATCAGGAGATAGGGTCCATGTTCCTGTAGCCATCCACAGACATCCACTGGTGTTCATTCTCAACACGATGCTGCCCCCCCCCCCCCCCTTTGACTGAGTAAAAAATTTTTTAAAAATCATTATTTATTTTATTTTATTTTATTTTTGCATGTATTTTGGTGACTGTCTTACCATAGATACCAAACCATGTTTTTGTTTTACATCAAATATGCAGAGAGGCTTTGTTTAGTAAAAAGCTGCTTGAATTAAAAATTAACAGGATTTGATTATTTTTATCAATACATGCGCACAGTTTTATAAGTATTGAAAGAAGCTATTATATAACTAATGGTAAAACTGGTGAAGTTGAAAACCCATAGCCTTGGCCCATATTTGTATATATTTGGTGCAGAAAAAAATCTATTAAACTCTGTTGTTGCAACATGTTTTGTGTCTTTATATTTTGCCAGCTTTGCTGTCTAGTCTTATGTTAGTGCTCATCTTATGGTTTGCCCAAAGATAATTAAGTATAAAAGATGTCTGCAGCAATTTTGTATTAGTAATATGCAGAGAATGGTTTTAATATTATTTCTTTAAAATAAAGATTTTAGCAACTTTTTTACAATAAGTACCGTATATTGAAGCTTTTATACTAGTATGTACAGTATACTACTGTTGTGATCTCATTGTAGTCTTTATAAAAGATGATTTATAATTATTGCTTTTGTTGCTTACTTTGTAATATTGTAACTTTTGTTAATTTTTTTAATGAAATCGAATCAAAAGACAAGGCATTTTCTTATCTTAGATATCCAAAGTTATTTATTGGGTTAGCTTGCCTAAAGTAGTGCTAATGAACTAATAGTGGATAAAGCAAGTCAGAATGATGACTGAATCATCACATTGTTAATGCCTGTTATAAGTACTGGTACCTAGTAAATTCCCACCTGGTAATTCTGGAGCTGTTTGTAATCAAAGAATGTTTATTTATTTAATTAAGCTCATTAGTGCAGAATTTTATTTAAGAGAAACTGGGCTGAAGTTGTAGAGATGCATAGATAAAGAAAAGGGAGAAAGAGAAATTAAATACTAAGAAAATTTCAGACTCCTATAGCTGTTTGTTATATTTTCTCTCTCATGCCTCATTGAGCATATTCAGAAGAGCAGACTAACAGATCCGCGGATCAAATATGACGACTCACTAAAAGCTTGCCACTTAATTCCTGATTAGACACTGAATAGATTCCCTATGGGGATTAAGCAACAAGCATTAGCGTTTAGTGGGTTGCCATATTTGATCCAGGGATCTGTTAGTCCACTGTTCTGAAGTCTCATATGGAGATCACTGAACACACTGTAGACATGATATACAGTGATGAGAGAGAACATTTTGAAAGCGGCAAACTACAGTCTCTTTGCAGTGAATTTCAGACTTGTTTCCTTATGAAATATTACAAAATACATATACATTTACTCGGGATGAATTTTTAATGCAAAAATCTAATTAAAAAGTACTGTGCAGATGTTTACAAATACAGTTTTTACGTCTTTGAAAATTAAATTGAAAGTCTGCAATGCAGTTATTGTCATTATTTATCATATTTGTATTATTTTAGGTAATTATATGATGTTATCAACTATATTCATTACTTTCAATTTTGAAAATGTATCTGACCTTTGTTTTACTTAGAATTATCATGTCAACATGTAGCAAAATGTAGCAACTTTTAATTATAAATAAATATAAATATTATTATTATTATTTGTTGTTGTTGTTGTAGCTTTATTTATATGAGTGCATAAGAATATTTAAGTCTAAGAGCTCAATCCCAATAAAAATAAGAGCACATTTAGAACAGCGGTCTAACAGATTCGCAGATCAAATATGATGACCCACTAACAAGCTTACACACTGAACAGATCCCCAGGGGATTATGCAACAAGCTTTCAAGTGGGGCAGCCATATTTGATCTGTGGATCTGTTAGTGCACTGTTCTGAATGCGCTTTATCTGTCCAGATAGATCAATTCAGGGGGGGAC